CTTTATAAATTCGGTGTTTGGCAGTGGCTTTGTTTTCTTTGGAACTAAGTTCTGTGTAGCATACTGTTAGCTGAAGGCTGTGAAGTAGAAATTTATTATTACAAATAAGAGAGAGAATAATTTATTCCATAGGATGAAAATGACTTAGTGTCAAGGAAGTTAGAAATTTCAAAAGGCTTAATACAACAGATCGTGTTTCTTTTCTAGGACATATACTCTGTTTCCTAGAAATAAACGTAAGGGTCTTCGTTTTGCCTGTCCTGATTAATGGAACCTGAGAGCAGATGAAAGATACTCTTTTTTTAGAGAATTTCTTCATCACATGGAAGGATTTTGTTTACCATATGCAGGCATAACCTCAGTGACCTATATATCCCCAGACCTTCTGGTAAGATGCTTATCAAAAGGTCACTACCCGGAGGAGTAATCATAGTTAATAGCTAAGAGGATATTTTTTTATAGATGGTGAGAGACACACATTTTTTTCTGAATTAAATAGCCAGATAGTCTTTATCAACCAGAATATATTTGCATTTCCTATTTTTTACTTGTTCTTTAGTCTTAGTCTCAATCAATATTTCCCTCTTTCTCTCTCTGTTTTAACATTTCAAAAATCTTTATGTAACTAATCATATGATCATAAGCATTTGTCCTCCAAAAAGAGGCTAGCATACCATGTTAATAAACTTTCTGTCTCTTTTCCCAGAATTGTCTAGGTATCACACCACTATTTATTTAACTTGAAAGTTTAGTCCAGATGAATTCAATTGTAAAAAAAAACATAATAATTCCACCACTTCTACTTCTTTTCCTCATTGTCCATGATCCATTCCATCTTTAATCTAATCCCACAATAATGTCAAATGACGGCTTTGGTCACCTGCACCTTAACACTAATGCCACCTGCATGAGTTAGAGGATATCTTGGCTTTCTCATTGTGATACATGTCGACATCAGTATGCATTTAATTCTGAAAATCACTGACTTCGTTTGGCAAGCTCTCCTCTTTACTATCCATTGTAACTGACAAAATTTTTTCATGAGTTCTAGTCATTAGTCAAGAGGGTAGGCAAAGAAGGCCATGCACTTCTAAAACATTCAGGCCTATGGTTCTGCTTCAACAGGAATACTTCCTAGTGGCCAAAGGCTTCATTTTAATTTAAATAATCTGTAATATTAAACAGGTCAGGCAGTTTATCGTACTATCGATAGCTTTTTTAAAATGATAATGAAAATGTTGTGCATATTTTAGTCTTTGATCCATGATCTGAAGGCAGTGCTCTAATGACAGTAAAATAAATTCTGTGTGCCAATAGGATAAAAATTCATATGCTATCATAGAACTATGAAACTTACTCTCCCTCCCGACCCCTCCACCGTAGTGTGCCAGGTATACTATAATCGTGGAAAGGAAGAGAGCCCTGACACCCTACCCAGCCACTGGCCACCTCTTTCTCTTCATTTAGAAAAACAAATTGTAGAAATTACTATGACCTACCCCATACATCCAACACTGAAATAATTAATGTTAAATTTTGGCTCAGATTATTTTAATTAAAAAAAGATTTTTAACAATAAAGCCCCTGTACAGTTTCCTCAAGTCCAAGGGGAAAATAATCTTGTTAATTTCCTTTGACCCTCTTCTTAATGAATAGGGAACATTCCAGTATCTCATTTATCATTTTAGAGTGGATTGCTTTTTAGATTATATTTCACATAGCATGTAGATGTCTATACGTTTTCATTACTTTGAAAAAAAAAGTAGTGATAGCATTATTTAAAAATACATAAGGAAATATTACAACATAGTTGGTCAACCTAGACTTTCATATATAATAATGATATTAATATAAAGAATTGAATAGAATTCCTTTCCTCTAAATATCACTCATTTGTCTATTGTATATTTCTAGGAAATAGCTCTCCTTGTTACATAACATATATGGCAGATTTTACTATTTAATGATTCTAAATGAAAAGTCAGATTTAGGGAATAAACTTTTGGAGGTTTATTTTGTAAGTTCTAGTTTCCAAATTAGCAAATTTACCTTCTGTTCTGGAGTAAATAATTACCCAAATCAGTATACATTTTAAATGTTTTTTGTTCTTTGAAAAATCACCATCTTTAAGATAATGTCAGAGGGTAGTGAAGTCTATGCTTTGAAAATTTTAATTCTGATCCTGAAGAAATGTACCTTCTTCACTTACTACCTGTCATCATCAAATATTCTCTCTTAAGTCAACATGTTGTGGATTACAATTTGTGCTTATGATTTATTTACCTCTTTTTATTGTGATATGCATAGCAGAATTTACCAAGTCATCTTGTTAAACTCATTAGCAAGAGGGTAATAGTCATAACAGCCTTAATGAAGTATTTTCCCTTCAGAAGGTTTAGAAAGAAAAGTGGAGGGTAGGAGAATGTAAGCCTTCTACTTAAAAAGCATTTTTCTCTAAGAACTTAGTGCTTAAGTTGATCATCTCTTGAAAGTTGCCCAAACATGATATCTCATCTTCCTGTTAATAAAAGGTACTACTGAGGTCTCAGTAAGGCAGTGGATTGAAAAGGGTCAAGAACTGTTTTCGATAATTCTAGTGAACAACTAATTAAATGTTCTTAATTTATGTGTTTCTAAATCAGACTATTTATTTTATTAGTTGATTAGTGTTAACTTTATTATAATCAACTTTAAATTAGTATGAATGAATACTTGGCACACAATGAACTAAATCCAGAAATTAAAAAAAATTAAGGCATTAAAGAAATAACAACTATGTAAACATTCAGTTTTTCATGATGATTATCTGGGTTAATTTACCAAGAATTGTATGCTAGCCAAAATTAATTAAATCATTGTAATAATGACAATGTTTATAATAATCTTTTTAAAGATGGGTAATTTAAAATTACTTTGTTATATTTTTCATTTATATACCATGAGCATTTCTTATGTAACTTTTTAAAAAAGGCCTTGAAAACCAGATTTTAATTGCTATATTATATTCTTTCCTATACAGTAATTTATTGAATAGTTTCCCTTTTGTTAAATAACACAGTGATAAGCACATTGTAATTACTGGACTTTTACATTTTTTATTAACTGATTCAAAGGTATGAAATTTAAGACCATGTAATTTGCATTCAAATTTATATATATACACATATATATAATATGTATGTCTATATATTTGTGTTACATAGATTTACAGATATGTATTTGTGTGTATTTAACTCCCTAAATCCTCACCAAATTTTCAACATTATAAATTTGCTAACTGAATAGGCAACAGTAATTTCTTATTACTATCTATATGAATTTATTAATAAGATTGTTTCCCATAGATATATTGATTATTGTTATTTATTCTATAAATTGTCCTCATCTTTTCCTCCAGTTATTTCAAGAGGGTTGTCTTTCTTTCAGATTTGTAGAGCTCTTAGTGTTTTACTAAGATATTTTGCCAATGTGATATTGTTCAGACATTTGAAGGTTATATGTAAATGGATCAATTGATCCTCACATACGCAGGCACACATGTGTTTTTTGTGTGTGTTTTAAGTTGGAAAATCTTTTACATTCCAAGGTAATTGAAATGTATTCCTGGATTTCATTCTACTTTTTACTAATAGTTTCATCCTCTTTGAAATTTCATCTTTTTCTCTATCTGGAGTTTATATTTGTGTATAAAGTTAAAGTTTAATTTTTTTCCAAAAAATTTATTTTTCATTTGTTTAATAATTCATCACTCATTGATTTTTATATTTTCTTCTTATTTTGTTGCTACATGTACTTGAGTTTGTTTCAGAACTGTCTACTGTATCTCATTTATTTTTGAGTCTTAAACCATTATTCCATAATTTTGATTAAATTTTATAATATTTTTTAATAATGACAGGTATTTTCATCTCTTCTAATATTTTCTGATTATGTATTTATTTTCTCAGATAAAAATTTAGGTTCTTCTTTTTTTCAATTTCTTAAAGAAAAAATAGCTTTTGATTGAAATTGAGTTAAACCTATAAACTTGTTGGGAGAGAACTGAATAATAATTTTGTAGAATTCAGTCTTAACCAGAAGTATTGTATGTCCATCAGTAACATTTTACCATTTTCTATATATGATTATCAAACATTTCTTGATAATATTGATCAGTTTCTTTGCTGTTTATTATATATACCAAGTAGTCATTGCTGATGTATAGAAAAGCTAATTATGTACATAGATATGTTATATAGTCTGTCTTGTTAGTGTACTGTTAGTGGTAAGGAGTGCTTCCATTTGTTCACATTAGTGTATGTTCTGGACAGATGAGTGTAGTTTTATTCTTCTTAGTTGATCTCTTGTATTTTCTTAATATTCCACTAGTTAAATATTATTTTCATTAAGTAAATCTTGTGCTTTGTAAGCAAAGCAGCTCAGGGCCATTACAACAACGGAAATAACTTGATAATGTTTGTGGTCTTCATTTTTATGAAAATTGACATTTTGTGACTTTGGGGGCTTATCATATTAAATAACTTTACTCCTTAAAACTCTCATAGTTTTATCATATTTTTAAAACAATTACAAATTGTTGAAATATTTTTGCCTTCTGGTTTTTATCATTCATCACAGTAGATTAAGCTCTACTAATGATTTCTTCAGCATATTTTCTTAATAAAACTAGAAGCTTAATACTATGCAAGTCAAGCTTAACATGGATTAACATCAGTCTAGGATATTCCCAACAGAGCCATAAAACTAGGCATTAGCCGACTCTTTTTGTCACACAGTGATACTAAACTGTCTTCAAAACAACTCGCAACTAAAATATTAACTGTCAAAGCAGAAGTTTATTATTTCAGGTATGTTAATTTATCCATGATGTCTACTTAATTAATATATTACTACTAAAACAGATTTCCCAAGCGTAATTATTCTTTAAAAGGAAATAGTAAACATATTCGCCATGTAAACTAAATATCATTTAATTTATTGTACATATTATTACCTTACAGCTTATGGGGCATTCAGAATGGGACCACAAACGAGGGCCACGAGGGTCACAGGTGAGTAAGTTCCTTTGCTTTTCTTCTTCTCTTGCATTTTGTTTCTTAACATTTTGAGATTTCTAAAACTCAACAAATTATAAAATCTAGAGAGAGGAGGAGGCGAAATAATAATGCCATTTGTTTTAAGTTAGTGATAACTGAAGGCTGGTTTCAAATCCCAAAGGCAGATGCCAATATATTCCTCCGAAGAGCTTTCTGGAGACCCAAATTGGTTGTGTTTCTCTGACTGTAGATTTCATATTCATTTTTATCTTCGGAATACATTTTGATCAGCATCCCACTCTCTTGATTTTACTCACTTCATTTGGTAATTATTCTGTTTTCTTTTCTCTATCTTCCTGTTTGTTTTTGGTTAAATATTTTGAAATACAATCAGAGTAAACCTTGAGCTAATTACAGATTTTGTCTCGAAATTAGCTGTCTTCGTCTTAGGAAAATAGAAAGATGAAAGGACCTATTATTTTTTAAAAGAAGCAAGTTCTAAACCTTTCTATATTACCAGACTGTTTTCATTGTCTCACTTGATGTCTTAGGCAAAGAGAAAACCTTCCATGACGCATTTATGCTTTTTAATGACCTAATTAGACAATGTGGAGTTGTTTTGCTTCCATAATTACTTTGCCTGACAGAATAAAGGCTGTTTTACACTAAGAAAATTATCACTCCTCCTAGGATATTTTGTGAAGAAATATTTAAAAAATCAGTTATCTCATAGTAGCCTGTGTTTACCTGACTACATACATGCCCCCGTAAAAATTAAGTGGGTGAAGCATCTTTACTGCTGGCGCTCACATTTTCTATTTGCCACACACAAAAATTATGTTTTTTGTGTTACAAATTATGTTCTTAGGTTACAAGAAAGAGAGATTAATGTGCAGTACGGTATATGAAAGCTCACTGTGAAATGGGACATTCTCCCAAGTGTTTTACAAAGCTGAAGTGAACCTTTGCTGTCATTAAGTTTGCATGAATAACTGTTTAATTTAGGTCCCTGGGAAAATTAAACCAGGTAAGTTGTTTTCATCTGAGATTTTAGTAGATGTGCTTTTGTTTTGTCCATTATCAATTTGATTAGTAAAAAAGTACAAACCAGTCCAGTTAAATTAGAATTCCCCCCAAAGATTTGATGACTTTACTATACCTCATTTAATTTCCCTTCTTCGTTTTTTCTCACCACTCTCCCACTGTACACATCTATAATACTTTCAGTCAGAATTTGCTGCAGGGTTGTTAAGGAGATGATGAAACTAATATGTGGTAAATGCTTTGTGATTCTAAATCAATAAAAAGTAAAGGCGAGTACAGGTAAGAACCTCCGTGATTTCTGATTATGGACACCAGAGGCATTTTGATATTTCAAACATGTCAAACAACTTTCTGAGGATATATCCCTTTAAAGTGATATAGTATTATATTGTAAAATGTTCAAAATGTGCATTATTTATTCCCCATATGAACTCTCTGGATATAACTTATCTTCAGATTTTGATGGGTCACTCTGTCATTATAAATTGAAAAAAAAAAGTCAGAAGAGCACGACATTGTGTTAAGTTTAAACATCAAGAATGCAAAATAAAAATTTTTATATTTTTTATATTCCAGATATTGCACATAGCTAGAAAGTTTCAGAATTCTACACATACACACAAATGTTTTCATAAATAAAGTTTGATTATATTTGAAAGCTAGAAATGGTTTTGAAAAACAAAGGCATTAGAATGTTTTTGTATGAACTATCATGGTCAGCATCAAGGCATGTGTGTTAGACCTCTAAACTAGCTAAAACATTTTGAATGTAGTATACACCTTTGTCTCACTTTGATTCCTCAACTTCAGATTAAAATTGTCAAAGTAAAAAAAGGAAAAAGACATACCAAGAAAATAAAAACAGTAATTACAGCAACAAAGAGAGTTATTCTTCAGAAATTCCAAATAAACAAAGTAGACATTAAATAATGTCACTTATCTGATTCTGATTCCCCACTGGGATAAAAAGAAAGGCACTACATTTATGTTTTAGGTCATTGATCCCTTCTTATCTTACCATAATTTCCTTGGACAGTATGTCTAAAGCCTTTAGGCATTCCAACGAAATTTCAGACAGACTGCTTTTGAACACAGATGTCTTAATAATTTACTAATACTCCAATGCCTTGCTCAAATTCCATCTCAGGTTAGTTTAATTAAAGACGGGTTTTTAAGCACTTACTGTATGTACAGCCCTATAGTAGTTCTATCTGTGAAATAAAACTGATTGACAAAGTTTACGGCATTTCAAGAGCTCACAATTATGTTTGGAAATAAAGAAATAGATGATTATATAATTTACATAGAAGGCAGACTTGTAGAGGTAAAATTAAATATATAAACAGGTGTGATTAGACTTGAGTGGGACAGAGTATTTATCCCTAGTAGAACTGGAAGATAATTTTTGGAGTTGATGGTATCCGAGGTGAGCCTTCAAGGTTGAGTAGGTTTCAGAAGTGTGAAGACAGAGAAAAGGAAACCTTCCAGTGAAAGTCTGGACTGGCTGAGTGTGGGACATCTTTGGATATACGTGAATTTTCTTTGTCATTGCTCTATAAACACTTATTGGCTAGGGATTGGGACTATTGTGAAGGAATAATCTCAAGATTATCATTCATTATTGATTCACTATGAGGAGGAAGTAAGGAGCGTCAAGAGTGTGAAATGTAGTACTTAAAAACAACGCCATTACCGCAGAGCAGTTTACGGGAAGATGGTGAAGTTAGTATTAGCAGTATTGAGAGAAGTGAAGGTGGGGGAATTCCACACAGATACTTGAGGTGTCCTTCTGGTGCTCTGTAGCCAGATTAGGCAGAAGATGTTAATTTGGAAATGCATATTATACATGTAATAACTGAACTACAGCAGGAGGTAGATCTCAGGAGAAGAATATTTAAAGAGGAAGACAGAAGAGAGGCTGATTTTTAGACAAGACTCACTGTAAGGGCCAGGAAGAGCCTGGGGAGAGGGTTAAAACATCCCTGTGGTCTCACGGGAGACCAGCTGAAGGAGAAATTACACAGAATCATAAGTAATATACTCTCAAGTTACACCAAGAAGAGGGCTGAGATCTCAAGGACACAATAAATACGGGAAATGCCTTGGGATTTAGTGATCAGCTGGAAATCAGGGGACTTTGAGAATGCAATATTGATCAAGAATGCTGAAAAGCAGAATACAGAAATTAGGAAGAGAATAGTGTTAGAGTAGAAAGCTCTCTCGGAGGAGTTTTGTTTTAAAAGAAAGGCAGGATTTAAAAAGATGGCAGCAGAAATGAGTGATTTTTAAAAAATCTTTGGTGATGTATATAATTTTTAACGGCAAAGAAGAAGAAATCTGTGTAGAGACTAAAACTCTGAAAATCCTCAATTGTGCCCAGTGTAAGGACTGAGAAAGTAATGTGGTTCAGGAAAGGGAATGCATTTTATTCCAAAGTTCCCCTTTTGGCACCTGTTTGTATGTCTTCTCATTCTCCACCACTCCCTAATCCAAATACTACCATTCACCCTAGTTCAGCAAAACTGGCTATGTTCTCAAATGAACTACTAGACAGAGCCACCAAAAAGCACAAAAGAAGGAGCTTTGGAAGGAAAGTAAAGCTACCTATGCAAGAACAAAAGAGAAGAAATAGGGACAGACAGTAAAAAATGAAAGAGAAATTATGAACCTAATAACTCAATTTTCTTGGTAGAGAAAGGGTGCAAAAAGTCAGGGATGTAATAGGGGAAAATCTTAAATGGTAGAAAACTGAGTAAATTATCTTGGATATCTAAAAAAGAGACTGGGTTGATGTCTGTGCATCAATAAATGCCTTATAGAAAGCAGAGGTGTTTTTTTTTTAATTGCCCTTTGTGAGTGGGTAGCCTGCAGGACACATTTTAACCTATTTTACTTTTATTCAAAAAATACCTATTTTACTTTTATTCAAATGTCAGGCACTTGCATAGCCTTTGAGAAGTCAAAAATGAAGTAAACAGCTTTGGTCTCAAAAAAACATATAATTTTACCTAAAGTCAGCTTCAGCTCAGAGGATAAAAAATAATCAGCTAGTAGAGAGGGTATTAATCATAATAATGATTAATCTACTGATCATTAATAGAGTTAAGCTTCTGGCTTTCCTGCTACATGCTTACTAAATAAAAGACTCAAATCTGATGTGGTCCTCCAAAATTACGTTATATGTGGCTTATCATAGATGATAAGGTGTGCCTTTCTAATGCTTGTTGTATAGAAAAATGCATATCTTGCTTCAAGTAAATGCCAACACTTAATTGCATATGACTCTTTAGCCAATAAGAATTTAGTTCAGATTTATTTATTCTGTTTTCAATATTTCTGTGAGATAATTTGTCAATCTACTCATAGCTTTCTGGCTGGTTTTCTTGATTCTTTTTTTGATTTTTAAAGTATGTACTCCCAAATAGTAATGTACTTCCAAATTAGGGAAGATGCTAAACGATAAATAAACTTCCAGCAGCATACAGAATTCTTATCTGGCAGTATGCCCAGTAATACCAAATGAAGTTCAGGGGATAAAGTTCTCAGAAGGCAATTAGGTTTTTTTTTTCCCTTTAAATTCTTGAAGAAAAGTTTTCCAGTGGGAAGTGAAGAGAGGCAAAAAAAAAAATTACTCTTCTTTGAAAACTTAAAGGTAGTAAGGTAGAATCCCAACAAACCAATAATAGGCAGTTGAACAACATGGATTTGAACTGCATGGGTCCACTAATATGTGCCTTTTTTTCAACAAATATATTGGAAAATATTTTAGAGATTTGCAACAATTAAAAAAAAAGCATTTTCTTTTCTCTAGCTTATTTTATTTTAGGGATACAATATATAATACATATAGCATACATTCATGTGTTAGTCAACTGTTCATATTGGTAAGGCTTCTGGTCAACAGTAGGCTATTTTTTTACTAGTTAAGTTTTTTGGGGTCAAAAGCTATATGTAGATTTTCAACTACAGTC